ACAAAATTTCTATAGCACATCTATGAGAATGCATAGCTGGAAATGTCTACAGAATTTGTAAATCTATATAGATGGAGTGATTGTAGGCTCTAAGATAGTATATATATAATAAAGCTACAGTTATTAAAATACAGTGTGGTACTGAGATAAGAATTATCAGATTGTCAGATGAACCAATGGAATACAATAGATACATACAAAACAGATCTAGGCATTCTGTAGTACATGATAAAGGAAGCATTGCAAATAATATCTTTGAGGGATTGTGTTATTATGCACCTAATATATTGAAAAATATTAATGAGTTAGAATATTTTAAGAGAATATCATACAAAGAAAAATACCAGGGTGGCTGGGTGGCTCAGTCAGTTAAGTGCTGACTTCAGCTCAGGTCATGATCTTGCAGTTCGTGAGTTCAAGCCCTGCATCAGGCTCTCTGGTGACAGCTCAGAGCCTGGAGCCTGTTTCAGATCCTGTGTCACCCTCTCTCTCTGTTCCCCCCCCCCCCCCCCGCAACTCATACTCTGTCTCTGTCTCTCAAAAACAGAAAAAACATTTTAAAAAATTTGAAAAAAAAAAAAAAAAAAGAAAAATACCAGTCTATATGTAACTGATCTTGTTAATATGAATTTCAAGAATAAAACCAGTGGAAGAAGTGACTACATAAATATTTAAAATGTTAAAATCATCAGAAATAAAAATTCCAACACAAATACTCATTAGATCATATTTGCAAAAATAAGACAAATTTTAATATCTTTAAGATATAAAATACTTACTAATGGACAGCAGCAATACTAATAATCCAATTAAAAGTAGTTTAAAAACATGAATATAAATAACCATAACAAACTATTTACACTCACAAGCAAAGGGAAAAGTTGGAGGAAATGTGCTTCTTTTTCTTTCTGTCATATTGTAAATTTTTTTAACTTTGTTTTCAATATTTTTTCAGCCGGAAAAGCCATGTAAAATAAGGACTCACATAAACAATCTTATATAGTAATGTCAATTGGTGCAGCCTTTTGGGAAAGCAAACCAAAAATATTTATTAAAAGTCCTAAACTAATACATATCTAAGAAGCCAACCTAAGCAATTAATAAAAAGTATGGTTAAAGATTCATGTGCAAGGATGATCACAGAGAAAGTGACAAAAGAGCAATAATCTGAAAGTTGAAAATAGAGCATTGTTAAAAATTTTTGCATATTCACATACGTATAGAGATACCATGCTGTGTTTATAATTTTTAAAATTTTTAAAATTTTTATTTATTTTTGAGAGAGAGAGAGACAGAGACAGAGACAGAGTGCAAACAGGGGAGGAACAGAGAGAGAGGGAGACACAGAATCCGAAACAGGCTCCAGGCTCTGAGCCATCAGCACAGAGCCCAATGTGGGGCTTGAACTCATGAGCCATGAGATCATGACCTGAACTGATGTAGGACGCTTAACTGACTGAGCCACCCAGGTGCCCGGCATGCTGCGTTTATTATTATGTTAAAACAAAATTTAATGGGGGAGTGTCTGGGTGGCTCAGTCAGTTAAGTGTCCAATTCCTGATTTTGGCTCAAGTCATGATCTCATGGTCGTGAGACTGAGCCCCATGTTGGGCTCTGTGCTAAGTGTAGAGCTTGCTTGGGATTCTGTCTCTCCTTCTCTCTCTGCCTCGCTCTCTCTCTCTCAAAATAAATAAATAAACATTAAAAATTATTTAATGGCATGGGAAAATGCTCACATTATAATTTTAGGTAGAAAGAAGCAAAATGCAAGACTATATTATCCTGGTGTTCACACACACACACACACGCACGCACGCACGCACGTGAAGAAAATTGCAAAATAGCAGCTGTTGTCTGTGTACAAGAAGCACTTAATATATATTCCAAATATCCAAATTTTTAAATAATAAGTATACATTCTTCTTAATTAGAAACAACGAGTGAAAGTACATTTAAAAACTACAACAAAGTACAAGTTCTTTTTAGAGGTACAAAGTGATAACCAAAGAAGGTGCAAACCTTCTTCCCCATATTAACTCATGAGGTGGCAGGGCTGTGATTCATATATAAAATTATGGCTTTGACATTTTCCAGCCCCCCTGGTGAAATGAATAATACAGTTTCTTCCATGTCCAGAACTAGTTTCCAAGCTATCCTCTTACAGTCATCCATTGAAATTCACTCCCCCATAGCTGCTCGTGGGTCATCAGATCTTCCTCTTGGCTTTCTCAGTCACCTGCCCTGTACAGTACTTCATTATCCTAGGCTTGGATTACATTAAATCCCTCTTAAATTTAATCTTTTGCTCTTTCTTCAATTCGTCCTACTTTCCACTGTCAGATTAATCATCCTAAAATTCCAATTTCATGAGGCTGTTTGCTGGCTGCAAAGTCTTCACTGATTCTCCCTATTTCCTATCATCCAATTTTAGAGTCTCCCCTAAAGCCTTCCTAATGGGAGCTTAATATCTATCACTTCGAATCAGATCACTCCACTTCCTCAGATGTGCTCATTGCCATCTCTGTGCCATTTTCATCCTGGTCTATTTACTTCCCTGCTCATCTACCCCAGGACATACCAATCTATTCTTACACGGATCTCCCATAACACCCATGCTCATATAAATCAAAATAACTCTTTAACAGTAAGTTTCTTAATTTCCTTCCAAATGACTCGCATATAAAGCCTTTCCCCCAAGAAAGCTAAAATGTTATGGAAATCAAGAACCATGGTTTATCATTAATTGCTGCACACAGCACACAGCACAGAAAAATGTACATCTACAATGTATACGGAGGAGGCAGCTAGTGAAGGAGAAAGAGCGTTAGATTGTCATTCTGGAGCTTTGGAAGCTGGTCCAGCTTAACGGCTTCTTCTTCTTTTTTTTTAAAGGCATTTTAAAAAAAGTTTTATTTATTTATTTTGAGAGAGACAGAGAGCATGAGTGGGCGAGGGGCAAGGAGAGAGGGGGAGAGAGAGAATCCCAAACAGTCTCCGCACTATTAGTTCAGAGCCCAGTGTGAGGCTTGATCTCACAAACCATGAGATCATGACCTGAGTGGAAATCAAGAGCTGGATGCTTAACTGATGGAGCCACCCAGGAGCCCCCATCTTGACCACTTCTTAACTAGCACTTTCCTAGCTATGTCCTGAGCTATGTTCTGTTTACTCATTGTCCATTTTATTTTATTTTATTTATTTTGAGAGAGAAAGAGAGATATAGAGAGGCCACAAGCGAAGGAGGGGCAGAGAAAGAGAGGGAGAGAGAGAATCCCAAGCAGGCTCCGTGCTGTCAGTGCAGAGCTCCATGTGGGCTCAATCTTATGAACTGTGAGATCATGACCTGAACCGAAATCAAGAATTGGATGATTAACCACCAGGCACCTTCAGCTTGACCACTTCTTAACTAGCACTTTCCTACCCAGGTCCTGGACTATGTTCTGTTTACCCATTATCTTATTTAATGTGAGGATATGATGAAATTGCTTATCTCACCAATACTTGTTTCCTTGTCAGAATACCACTAACTGCCTCTAAAAAAATTAAATGTGAAAGCATTTTTAAAATATGAGGCTTTATATATATTAAGGAGCTATTATGACAGCCACTATTAGTCTTGAGAGCAGTTTAGTCATAGTATAACAGAAAGGAAAGCAGATACCAGAGGACTCAGGTTATCACTGACTCTTCCTGGTTGGGAGATCATGGACTATTTCACTTACTTTCTATGAATTTCCATTTCTTAATCTATGAAATGGGGATAATAACTCCATATCTGTTATAACATTTCCTTCATTCACCAACGAAAAAATGACCTACTTACACTTTGGCTGGCACTAATAATACAATTAGAACCAAATGATTAAAACAAAACATACATTCAAAATAGTGTTCTAGTTCCCAAGGAGTTCAGACAGTGAAAGAGATATATATGTAAACAAATACAGACAATACACCATGAAAATTGCCATATTAGAAGAATATACTAAGTCCTTTGTACCAAAACTAGGTCTGTGGAGGTCAAGAAAGATAACATTTGAGATGCATCTAAAGAAAGTTTGAGGTGTTCCAGGTGGAGGGAATAATATTCATGATCTCGCTTGGGTAATATCACAGTGTTGCTGAGCAATCTATGTTGCCTGTTCTGAACTTTTTCTCATTTCATCAGAGGCAGACTTTTATTCTCCACATGACCCTGGTTCCACCACCTCTACCCTTTCACTCTCAAAAGATAACATTGACTTCTAATTCCTACAAGAGTGAGAAGTCATCAGATAAATACTCTCCTATCTTCCCCTCTCCATGCCTAACAGTGAAAAATCCTACCCTCTTGCCCCAATATGGACACTTCTATACTACTTTCCAACTGTATTTTTTTAAATCTGCTTCGTACTCCTCACCCCTGTAAGTTTCCAGGACTGTGACTCTGACTCTATCATATATGTCATCTCTCCACTCTCCAATAACATCTTCATTAATGACTCCCAGGCATCAGCATTTAAATACACTCAAATCTCTTCTATTAACAACCCACCTGTTCACATACACACATAGTTTTCCTGTTCCCCAATTCCTTAATTTTCATTATTTTTCCCTGAGAGTTGTTGTTAAATTTTCAAGATACTATTTTATGTCCTCTTCTTGAGAGTATATATTCCCCTGGCATGGTTTTAATTATCTTTTACTTGCTAACATCCAACTTTCAGCCTCATTTCCTTGAACATCAGATACATTGCATCATTCTTGTTCTGTTGAAGACTGTGAACTTTAATGTGGGTCATGGGAAATCATTTACAAATTTCTTTAAAAAATTTTTAAATTTTACAAATTTCTTAAAGAATGGAAGTGATTAAATCACATCTGTGTTTTTAAAATATTACTCATCATAATGTAGAAAATAGGCTAAAGGGATAAGAAATTGGAGTGAAGAGGACTAAAATATCTACAAGGCATGCAAATGAACATGCTAGATAATGGAATGTTGTATAAATTCTCCTTACCTTGAATGGAGGACTAGAGTCACTTGGTCGTGCAGAAAAGTCAAAGGAGATAATGAGATCGACTCCTCTCTGAGGTCTCAGGATCAAGGGGTATGGCAGGTTAAATGTGAGGCCACTGTCCACTACATGAATCTTTTTACTTTTGACATCCAGAGGCTCATATATTTGCTCAAATTCATCAGGATCTTTAAAAAGGGAAGAAAGAAAAGAATAAATTAAATGGCCATTTCACATTATTTAGAACATAAAAAAAATGCATTTTAAAAATAGTATTTATTTTGAGAGAGGGGAAAAAGAGAGAGTGCATGGGGGCGGGGTAGAGAGAGAGGGAGTGAGAGGATCCCAAGCAGACTCTGATCTGTCAATGCAGAGCCCAATCTGGGGCTCGAGCTCACGAACCATGAGATCATGACCTGAGCCGAAACCAAGAGTTGATGCTCAACCGACTAAGCCCCCACCAGGTGCCCCCAAAATATTTTTAAGGTAGGTTTGTGAATAAAGTTTTATATGGTTAGGTCCTCAGGCTTTGGAGACAAACAGAGCTGGGCAGGAGTCCAGCTTTAGCAGCTGCCAATGAATTATTGTCTTTAACTCCTAGTTTCCGTATCTGTACCATCAGGTAAAAGAATCAAATAAAGGTGCTGTGAAGATGAAGTGAGACAATGCATGTAAAGTACTTAGCTCAGGCGCTGGCATTAATTCTAAGCTATGTACCCCTTTAACAGCTTTACTTCACATTACCTAGGTCTTTACTGGCTTAAAAACATTTCCTCATACATTATCTGGTTTTAAGTCATAACAGACATGTGAGGTAGATGACATCTATAAATGAAGGATGAAATACATCCATCTCTACAGTACAGAACGGGGGGTGGGGGGGTGGGGGTGGTAGAGTGAATGGATCCCGCACTGCATCTCCCTGATGGGTGTCCAAGGAAATAATCCAGCCAATACATTCAGCAAACGTGTACTGTCTGCTAATATTTGGGCTGTATTTCAGGTGCTGAACAAGATGCAAACTCTGTTCTAACAGAGCACGTGACCGATAAATAGTTCGGGTAGTGATAAATGCAATGTAGAAAATGATAGAGGGTAATATAATAGGGAGTAACTTCAGGTGGGTAAATGAGAGAGACCTCTTTGAGAAGAAGACCAGAACTGACCAGCTGACGATTTGGAGGGATATTTTTTTTCTAGGGAGAGGAAAGAGCCAGAGCAATGTCCCTAAGGCAGAATCTGACTTGGTATGTTTGCAGAACAGCAAGAAGCCTGGTGTGGCTACAGTATCAGAGGGGAGTGAAATGAGGTGACAGAGGATCCGAAAGGTAGCAGGGTCTAGAAATCATTTGTTTTATGAATAAAATGGTAACATGCTACTCTTCACATTTATGTGTGGCGCTCCACATTCACTTCCCAGGAAAAAGGAATGTGATCAGAACCGAAGTGATCTGAGCTGAATGAAATAACCTGTAATTGTTTTGTTCTGTTCCCTTGTCTTCACACGTGGACTGTCAAGAAGAACAGAGTGATTATGCTCAAGAAAGAACAGAGTGATTATGATCTCTGAGGAAGCACTGAAATTCCACTTGGCAAGCCTTTTCACAGAGGCAACAATCAAAACCAGAGGGCCAGACCAACCTGTGTTTATAGAATCACCTAAAAATGTAGTTAATACCTATTATTCAGGAAAATGTTCAGCACATGATGGGAACCCATTGAATGTTAGTTTCCTCCATATATTTCTAAGTAAGAATGATACTGACTATATAGTGAATTTTATTATGTTTTGTAAGAGCAAGAGATCCAAAAGTTAGGCAAATCTTTAACTTCTTACTGTTCCATTAAATCCACAATCCTCCTCATCATTAAAAGCTGAAAAGCACCGATAAGACAATTAGCCTTGATGTTTATTCCGTGTGAATCGAAAACAGTTCTAAATTAGACTTTGGTTTAGTTACTTAAGAAAATATTATTATCCTTCTAGGTTTCTACAGTTAACACAGAGTCATGTGTTTTCTTCTCTCATATTTATTAAAATTTCTCATCCCTAAAATACTGAATAACAAGTGAGTGCTACAAACATATATTAGTGTGTTTATGAACGAAGCAGAACAGAGTTTACAGCAAGGTGATTCGTACCGCCCAGAACTGTTGAATGAGAAAGGGTGTGAATGAATGACCTTAAACAAACAAACAAACAAACAAAAAACCAAATATGCTTAAAAAAAAAAAAAAGGCTATGGGGGGAGTGGTTTAGACAAGAATAAGGTCATATAACTAAATGAAAATGTGGGCCAAGTTAAAAAAAAGAAAAAGTCTTGCTATGTCTAAGGTGAATAAATAGGCGAGCAAGGAGAGACAAAAGAAATTATTCTTTAAATAATTATCTTTAGGTTAATTCTCTTTTCTTATCAAGTATGTATGGATTGTAGTGACAAAGTATGTTTCTACCAGCCAAGATTCTAAATTTCTATCCATCACAGAAACTGGAACCTAAGAATTATAACACTGAAAAATACATATATTATCAAATGTGATTTTAATATTTATTCCTCTGAAATTCTTATTGTTTAAAAATTACATATGTGAATGTTTTATGTGAATGTTTGTGAGTCTTTTCTTATATTAGTTTTTAAATATTTTAATAAGAGCTGAAATTCATTATTTGGGTACTTTTATTTCTCCTAAAAACAGCTTCATTTATTTTGAGGGTCTATAATGTATTAGAAATTTCATATATGATATTTATCATCCCCATAATACTCTTACCAGAAAAGGGGTTATGAGTGTCATTTTAAAGATAAGGAAACTAAAACCCAAGGGGTCCAGTTTCACACAGTGACAGTCTGGATTCTAAGACAGGCCCACAGGGTCTAAGCCTTCTGCATAGGGTTATGTTGTTAGTTCAGTAAGCGGCATGGCCATAAAATTGAAAGGGTTTAAAATGGATGACTTAAGGGGTGCCTGGGTGGCTCAGTGGGTTGAGCATCTGCCTCTTGATTTTGGTTCAGGTCATGATCCCAGGGTCATGGGATGGAGCCCCACGTTGGGCTCTGCACTGAGTGTGGAGCTTGCTTGAGATTCCCCCCACCCCCCACCTCTCTCTCTCTCTCACTCTCTCTCTCTCCCTCTCCCCTGCTTGCACTTTCTCTCTCTAAAATAAAAAAACATATACAATTAAAAAAAAGTAAATACAATGGGTAACTTAAAAAGCAATAATTACAATATAGAGAGGCTACCTACACATGCATCTGTCAATCATTAAAACCACATTAACATGTGTATTTCATCACAGGTAAACACAAAAGTTTTAAAAACATATTAGTGGCAGTACTTTTTTTTTACACTGCAGTGATTTTCCCCTAATATGATAAAGTAAAATGATATCACAAATATCTTTCTTTGGCTTCATAAATAGTGCTTTTTAAAATCTTCGCTAAAAGATTACCACAACAGACCATTTCTCTCATATTCCGTTCGGTTTGCCCCCTCTCATCATAAAACTGGTAGTGTCCCTCTTCCTCTTTTATATCCAAGATAACACCTGAGAGACAAATCATTATGTGCACCAATTCCCAGCTGTGGCACATAACTAAACACCGTATTTCCACCCTTCCAAATAAACTGACAGGAAGTAGTGTTTCCTACTTGTGTTGCAAACAACATAGTTTTGCAAGATATTAACAGATGTTCTTTACACAAAATAAGAGTTCCATGATCAAATGGGTTTGAGAAATATGATTTCAACAGCTTAAAGTAATAGCCAGTTATTGTGTTTGCCTTGGGCTAACTGCTCTTTTTAATGAAGATGCTATTTAATCCTCACAGTAAGTCTCTAAGATAGATATCACTATTACTTCTATTTTATAAGTAAGCTATGATTTCTATTTTATAAGGAATAAACTGTGAGGATTGCTGCAACCTCACTGCCCTACGGTTCCATCAGGATCAGGGCTGTCGGTTTTTTTTTTCAACATTTATTTATTTTTGGGACAGAGAGAGACAGAGCATGAACCGGGGAGGGGCAGAGAGAGAGGGAGACACAGAATCGGAAACAGGCTCCAGGCTCTGAGCCATCAGCCCAGAGCCCGACGCGGGGCTCGAACTCACGGACCGCGAGATCGTGACCTGGCTGAAGTCGGACGCTTAACCGACTGCGCCACCCAGGCGCCCCAGGGCTGTCGGTTTTTAGTTTGGTCCCACTTTTCTACCATTGTTAACTGAGACTTATGCTAAGTAAGGGCTCAAGACTGTCCAGCTAATAAATGGCGCACCCAGGATTCAAATGTAAGCCAGTCTGCTTTTCAAGTCCTATACTTGAGGCACATTAAGTAAGCCAGTCTGCTTAAATTCATGAGAGTATCCCACTGCATTGTGAAAAGGGGGATGGAGCTGTTAGTTTTCCAAATTTATTTGAATTTGAACCCGATTTATTGTATGACATCCACTAGAATGTCATAGAGAGTTTGATGAATACCACTACGGAGGAATATCCTCCCATAGTTTAAGCCCACATGGTTTCTAAACCTGTAAGTGAGTTAATCGGGTTTTTTGATAGGTATGGAAGCATGCTGGGTTCTATAATTACGTACCACCTCCTTAAAGCAGTTCAGCTGTATCTGCAGATACTGTATCTGCAGGTATCTGCAACGGTCATTTTATAAACACATCACACAGATTCAATTTATGATGTACCAAAATGTTTGGCCCTTTGTGTATCGAACTCTGGCCTAAATTAACTCATGCCTCGATTTTTTTATTCCAGATGGTATGTGTCACAGTGAATAACATAAACACAAAAGTAAACAGGAAAGAAGTTATGTAATTAATGGGCAGCTTCTCCAAAATTAGGTTCTAAAGGTATACAATGATTCTGAAGTAAACAAATGAGAGGAATCCACCTTCTCTTATTTTCAAAAGATTGTCTGCAAGGTGAGGTAATAGGCACAAAAACTACACTATTTTTTTTTCTCCTTTTAGGTTAAGAGATTGTTTTCATTTTAAGATACTCAAATTTTAATCTGTAAAAACAAAATCATCATAGGTAAACCAAAATGTAAGGTTTTCCTAAAATCTGTTTTTTTTTTTTTTTTTTTTTTGCATAGGGGCGGGGTACAAAAATAAAAGAAATAAACTTAGTGAATGTTTTAATTAAGATATGGTATTTTAAAGTGTATAATAAATAGAACTTTTTTTAAAAAATTTTTTTTTTCTTTTCAACGTTTTTATTTATTTTTGGGACAGAGAGATACAGAGCATGAACGGGGGAGGGGCAGAGAGAGAGGGAGACACAGAATCGGAAACAGGCTCCAGGCTCTGAGCCATCAGCCCAGAGCCCGACGCGGGGCTCGAACCCACGGACCGCGAGATCGTGACCTGGCTGAAGTCGGACGCTTAACCGACTGCGCCACCCAGGCGCCCCAATAAATAGAACTTTTAATGAAGACTTTATGAACCAAGATGATTATAGTTGGTTCATTATGAAGACTTTATGAACCAAGATGATTATAGTTGATGATTATAGTTTATGATACATCTTTTAACTTTAAGCTCCACAGACATAGTTAGTCTAAATCTTGGAAATAATCAGGAGATAAACAGGGTCTACCTTAGTAAGGAGCTGTCTGAAAAAGCACTAATCGATTTAGCAAATCCAGTCTAAACTGCAGTCATTTTTTAGCAACGTTAATCTGTGAATTATAGATTTGAATGAGCTCATCACTGACCCGACTGGCTTCTTGACTAAAATCAATAGGCCGTATACATTTTCTCAACTGGATAAATATAAAGTGAGTGAAATAGAGTTTTTATGAGATACAACACAAAGAAATAAATTTAAAGTTCCTTCCAAAGATCATTAATTTAAAACAATTTTCGGTTAAAACATTCCAAAACAGGCCAACAAAAGAATGGTTAGTCAATGTAATACCATATTTTGAGACGATTTATTTTTCTGCTTCCTCATTTTACTTTATGAGAACCAATCATGAGACTTCCTCCAAAGAGCACCCAATAAAGAAAGGAGTCAGATAAGGTGATGTACAACTCTGTTCTCCAAGCACTATGGAGAGAAGTGAGGACTGTGTCCTACAGTTCCACCAGAATCAGGGTTGCTGGGTTTTAGTTTTACTCTACTTTTCTATTATTCTTAACTAGAGTATACAAATCCCTCCTATGAATCAAAACTTTAAGGAAAGGTCAAAAAATGATTTTAATTTTTATGAGGGTGAGAATTACATTTGTCTTGCTGAGCACTGGGTCTCTAGAACTAAACACATTGCAAGTGCTCTGCAAATACTGTGTAAATGCATGAACAAAGGAAAGAAAGAAGATGAAAATGAGGAACAATTTGAAAGAAGGTGAAAATAACAAAAGCCGTGCATTTCCTAAGGTTACCAAATTTATCTACTAAAAATACAAGATGCTGTTAAATTTGAATTTCAAACAAACAACAAATAATTTTTTAGGACAAGTATGTCCCAAATGTTGCAGGGGCCATATTTACATAGGTGTGTGTGTGTGTGTGTGTGTGTGTGTGTGTGTGTGTGTGTGTGTATTATATATATAATATATACAATATATATATTATATGTATAATATATAATTTGAATTTCAAATTTAACTAGGCCTGCTGTATTTGATCTAGCAACCCTCTGAACCTACATAAAATATTGCAAAACTACCAGGAAGTTGTTAAAATGCAGTGTGAAGAATTCATGCTGTGCAAACCACAGAGCTATGCTGGGTAAATGAATCAAAGTAATAACATAAAACAGATGTAATATAGTACACAGAAAGGAAACTTCCATTTTACATCAGCAAAACAATGACTAACAGAGACATGGAGTGTAGCAGAAAGGAAGAGCTTTTGAGCAATGCTGAGGTCTGTGACCCCATTCTAGCTCAGCTGATAAATTTTGGAAAATGAGAACGATTTTCTTTGATCTCCCTTTTCTATAGTGGACTATAACTAAAGATTCTTCCTAATTCTAAATGATCTTTGAGAATGGGGATTATAACGGCAGTAAGTATAATCATGTGCCACAAGACAAGTAATGTCACTGATAAATGGTCGTGTTTTTTTTTTTTAATTTTGGATGAATTTTCAAATGGGATATTGATTTTATCACAGATAGACTTTTATCATTGCTAAGGTATGAAAGGATTTGGATTACAGGTATATAATATACCATACCTCACATCCTACACTTGGATGCCATAAACATAATGCAAAGTATAGTGAGTTTCTACTCCTCTTGTTTAAACAACAAGGGCAACTTCTGCTTTTGCAATTTCCCTTAAGCTCAAGCAACAAATGGAAACAGCACTATGAGAAACACCACCAAACCTAAAGTCATGCCCTAATTTTCACAAATATTTTATAGGCATGATGCTTAACCAAAGAGTAGAAGAAAGGTTTTTGGAAAAATTCCACTTAAGTTTCTGAAGCTTCCTCTTGATGCCCTTAGGCAGAAATGACTGGGAAATGACATTTGGGCAGTTAACAGAAAAAATGATGGTGTGATGTAGTAGAAAGATTTAAGATGACAGAATCATTATAAGAAAGATTATTATGAATTGATTAGTCACCAAGGCAAATTTAACTTTTAATTTGAAACATGAAATGAACTGAAGAATAAAGGGAATTATTCTTTGGAATTTGGCCCACTGAGTGGGTTCTGACCACCTGGCCTTAAGAAAGCTACCTAACCTTTCTGAGAACTGGAGGGACACACTCAGCAGCCTGATGGTCACTGAGACTGGTGAACTCAACTCTATTTCACGCACTTGGGTTGCATGCATTACTGTGTGGCAGCAGATGGCCAACTAAGGACCCCATTTACCAGAATCCCTTCCAGCACTGGTTCTGCTGAGACCTGTCCTTTGCCAAGGAGAAAAACCCACATGAGATTCAAAGGAGGAAATGAGACAGAGGCTACATTTCTGCCATTTCTACTGCCAAGCACAGTTGTGTGGGCGTTTGTTGGGGGTGATTCTAAAGTGTTTTTGGAATCATTTCTAGAAGCTCAGTCTGGAGCTTGCTCTTCCAAGCCTTGGAGCAATTTTGTAAACACCTACTTCCCTACTTTAAACCCCTCTCAATTAAACAAGGGAGAGGGTTTCCTGTTTTCTGAGTGAACCTTGTCCACTACAGAGAGGATCTAAGATCCCTCCTCAATGTTTCAATGAAAATTTTCTATGCTGAAATAACTATGCCCTTTCCTGTCTAATGGATGTTCTTCTTCTAAAAAAACAGTAATCTGAAGCCCTTCACACATTACATGGATGTAGCTGTAATTGAGTATATGTGAATAAATATTGAATATGATCAAAAGGCTTCTTCTCCCTAGAAAGGAATACAGATCTCCTGAATTAGGAGAAACAAACACATGGATTTTGTGTTGTGTGCTTACCTGCAACAGCTGTATCCAATTCATCTTCATCCAACGATTCCTGTGTGGTAAAGTCTTTCAGAGGAGATATTGGATAGGATGTATTGAGATTCAAGCCCAACATGAAGTTGTGTACCTTCCCAGCACGTCCTTCTCTGGTATTGAATAAAGTTGAATCACTCACCAAAGCCATTAACATACGATGGACCCAACTTGCTTGGTTATCATTTTGATATTCCCTTTTAGCATCTTCATTTTCAGTGCCTAAGGAAAAAGAAAAAAAAAAAAACCATTGTGTAGATTCCCAAATCCATTGAAAAAATCTTTGGGCAACTGAACGTTAAAATTAACAGCAAAGCTAGGGGCACTTGGGTGGCGCAGTCGATTAAGCATCTCACTCTTGATCTCAGCTGAGGTCATGATCTCACAGTGTGTGAGTTCGAGCCCCACATTGGGGCCCTTTCCTTCTCTCTGCCCTGCCCCAGCTTGTGCGCTTTCTCTCTCTCAAAATAAATAAATAAACTTAAAAAATAAAAAAAAATTAAGAGCGAAGCTCTATGGCTTTTGATTTAACAAGCATTTATTTGTATAAATTAATGCAGTAAAATATTTCAGTTAATAATTTTTGTTCTTAAATTTTTCTTACTTTATCCTTTACCTATAGTCAGTCTAGAGGTTATGTTCTTAATGTGTTACTTGGTCTATGCTTAGGTTTTCAGGCAAACTGCTACTTTCCCCTTTCTGTCCTTCCCTAGTCCTTTTCTTCCTTTTCTCTTGGCTACACACACACACACACACACACACACACACACACACACACACAGGGAAATTCCACAGTAGATAATCCTCTCCTCTTCATTACTTAAGTTGCGTTCCGTATCCTGTTTAGTAAACATCCAGAAATCATCCAAACTGAGAATAGGCACCTGAAGGATTCAACACGCATATTTGCTGCTCAATAAACACTCTATAAATAATCATTTCATCCTTGCTTGTAAAGTATGGAATTTAAAGCCATGTAATTTAAACATGTGCTTTAAAATGTCTTACAATTCAGCAACTTTCCAAAAGAAGCAGTCTTAAATGACTTCTTCCTTCAAACCTACACAAATATCACCGTTACTTGGGAAGCCATGTTTAGAACATTGGCTCCAGAATCAGATTGCCTGGATTTCAATCCTCTCTCCGCTGCTTAACTAGTTAACTCTTTTCAGCCTTCATTTCCTCATCAGTAAACCCCACAGGGCTGTTGTGAAGACTGAGATAGTGCATTTGTGTAAATCTCTTAGAAAAGTGCATGGCCCATATTAAATTCTTAACAAACATTAGTTAGTAGAAGAGATAGTTGTGGTGACAGCAGCAGCTGCATAATCATTATCATTGATATGATTCATTCACAATCCAAATCGCAGAAAACTGTGGTCGAGTATAACCCCACCTGCCTACATCCCTCTGTTCAGATTTCTGGGAACTCTCTTTATATGCAATATGTAAAACTGTATGTGTGTGTATTTGAGAAAAAAAGTCTATGTTCAAACTTCATAATTTCTAGTAAATGTTAATTAAACATACATAAAACCATAATAAATACTGATTTTTATCCTCATAAAGATTTGCTTAACTGAGCTAAGTAAATGAATGGATATTTCTTTCAGGAACGAATTCAGATGACTACATACAAAAAACACATACATTTTCCTACTCTCACACTTTCTAAAGCCAAATATGACAGAGAAAATCTTTCACGAGAACAAATTAGGCTTTAAAGTGAATGATTTAGTGGTGCCTGGGTGGTTCAGTCAGTTAAGCATCTGACTCATGATTCATGAATTTGAGCCTCACATTGGGCTCTGTGCTGACAGCATGGAGCCTGCTTGGGATTCTCTCTCCCCCTGACCCTTCTCTCTACCCCTCCCCTGCTCATGCATGCGCTCTCTCTCTCTCCCTCAAAATAAGTAAATAATCATTAAAACAAATAAAATGAATGATTTAGAGGTGCCCGGGGGCCCAGTCAGTTGAGTGTCCCACTCTTGATTTTGACTCCTGTCATGATACCAGAGTCATGGGACTGAGCCCCATACTGGACTCTGCACTGAGAGTGGAGCCTGCTTAAAATTCCATCTCTCCCCCCCCCCCTTTGCTCTTCTCCCCCACTTGCATGCACTCTCTCTCAAAAATAAATAAATAAATAAATAAATAAATAAATAAATAAATAAATAATAAAGTGAATGATTTATATCTTCAGTTACACAGGATATGAATAAGATAATCAGTAATTTGTAGCTTCCTCCTCCTCTTCCACCTCCCTCTCCTTTTCTCCTTCTTCCTCTTTCCTCCCTTCTCCTCCTCTTCCTTCTTTTGCACCATCATAATTACCATCATCATCATCATTATTGCTATTATTAAATAAACACTGTGCACTAGAAAATCCACTGTCCTTATGAGACATTTAGAAATGGCATCATTTGTGGGACAAACCCAGGCTTCAACATATAAATCATAATCTACTGTTTTAGTTATAATACTAAGCACATTTCTATTTGCATAGTCTTTTACAACTTAAAGTCCTTAGTATGCATTTGCAATTTGATAATTATAACAATTCTATGAGAGCAAGTAAAATGATGCCAGTATAGATTTGAAGAAACCAAAGTTGAAAATCCCTGAATACCTTGCTCAAAATCATAAGACGAAAAATGAAGAAGCCTCAAGACAATGAGAAGACAAGACACGGACTGGGGGAAAATATTTGCAGAAGACATTTAAGAAAGGACTGTTATCCAAAATGTACAAAGAACTCTTAAAATTCAAAATAAGAAAACAAACATCCCAATTTAAAAAATGGGTAACAGACACCTCACCAAAGAAGACACAGAAATGGCAAGTAAGCACATGAAAAGATGCTCCACATCATATGTCATCGGGGAAATACAAATTAAGCAACAATGAGATAACACTACACATCTATTAGAAATATGCAAATTGTAAACACTGGCATTACTGAATGCTGGTGAGGATATGAAGCAACAGGAACACTTATACATGCTCATGGGAATGCAAATCAGTACAGCCACTTGGGAGGTTTCTTTCTTTCTTTCTTTCTTTCTTTCTTTCTTTCTTTCTTTCTTTCTCTCTCTCTCTCTCTCTCTCTCTCTCTCTCTCTCTCTCTTTCAAGTAGCCTTCACATCCAACACAGAGCCCAATGTGGGGCTCAAACTCACAACGCTGAGATCATGACTGGAGGTGAGATCAAGACTTGAGCCGAGATCACTGATTTTACTGTTGGTGGGAATGCAAACTAGTGCAGCCACTCTGGAAAACAGTATGGAGATTCCTCAAAAAATTAAAAGTAGAACTACCCTATGACCCAGCAATTGCACTACTAGGTATTTATCCAAAGCATAAAATAATGCTGATTTGAAAGGGCACATGCATCCCAATGTTTATAGCAGCACTATCAACAATAGCCAAATAACGGAAAGAACCCAAATGTCCATCGACTGATGAATGGATAAAGAGGATGTGATATGTATATACATATACATACACACACAATGGAATGTTACTCGGTGATCAAAAAAACCAAAATCTCGCCATTTGCAACAACCTGGGTGGAACTAGAATATATTATGCTCAGTGAAATACGCCAGTCAGAGAAAGACAAATATCATATGATTTCACTCATATGTGGACTTTAAGAAACAAAACAGATGGGGCACCTGGGTGGCTCAGTCGGTTAAGCATCCGACTTCGGCTCAGGTCATGATCTCACGGTCCATGAGTTCGAGCCCCATGTCGGGCTCTGTACTGACAGTTCAGAGCCTGGAGCCTGTTTCAGATTCTGTGTCTCCCTCTTTCTCTCTCCTCTCCTGCTCATGCTCTCTCTCTTCTCAAAAATAAATAAATGTTAAAAAAATTAAAAAAAAAAAAGAAACAAAACAGATGAACATAGGGGAAGAGAAGGAAAAATAAGATAAAAACAGAGGGAGGCAAACCATAAGAGACTCTTTTTTTTTTGTCTTTTCAAAATTTTATTTAAATTCTAGTTAGTTAACATACAGTACAACACTGGTTTCAGAAATAGAATTCAGTGATTCATCATTTACATGCAACACCCACAATCCTAAATACCCATCATATCACCTGGCTAGCCCATCTCCCACCCAACTCCCTCCATCAACTCACAGTTTGTCCTCTATCATTAAGAGTTTCTCATGGTTTATTTCCCTCTCTCTTTCCAGCCACTCTCATATGTTCATCTGTTTAGTTTCTTAAGTCCACATATGAGTGGAATTCTCTCATTGACTTATTTTGCTTAGCATAATACATTCTAGCTCCATCCACATCATTGCAAATGGCAAGATTTCATTCTTTTTGATCGCTGAGTGATATTCTATTGTGTGTGTGCATATATACACAATAGAATATTGTGTAGAATATATAAGAGACTCTTAAGTTCAGAAAACAAACTGAGGGTTGCTGGAGGGGAGGTGGATGGCAGGATGGGCTAAATTAGAGACGAGCATTAAGGAAGGAGGGCACTTGTTGAGATAAGCACTGGGTGTTATATGTAAGTCATGAATCACTGGGCTCTACTCCTGAAACCAATACTACATTGTGTGTTAACTAACTCGAATTTAATTTTAAAAAAATACAAAAAAATACACCCCAAAAAACAAAAAAAGGACCTGAGCTGAGATCAAGAGTCAGATGCCCAATCAACTGAGCCACCCAGGCACCCCTGGAAGTTTCTACAAAACTAAATTATACGCCCATCACATGATCTAGCAATCATGTTTCTTGGTTTTTACCCAAAGGAGTTGAAAACATATCTACACAAAATTTGAACATGAGCATTTGTAGCAGCTTTATTCATATTTGTCAAAAATTGGAAGAAAATAAGATGCCCTTCAATAGGTGAATGGATAAATAAACTGGTACATCCAGACATTGGAATGTTACTCAGTGCTACAAACAAATCAAAACAAAACCAACACAAACAAAAAAGAGCTCTCAAGCCATGAAAAGACATGGAGGAAATTAAAATGCATATTACTAAGTGAAAGAAGTCAATATGAAAAGGCTATACTCTGTATGATTCCAACAATATGACATTCTGGAAAAAGCAAAACTATGAAGATAGTAAAAATACGAGTGGTTGCCAGAGGTTGGGGTGGGGTGGGGGTAGAGGGATGAATAAACAACACAGAGGGATGTTTAAGGCAGTGAAAGTACTCTGCATCAAACTATAATGGTAGATACATGTCATTATACGTTTGTGAAAACCTACAGAATATATGATACCAAGAGTAAATCCTAAAGTTTGGACTTGGGGTGATAATGATGTGTCAATGTAGGTTCATGGATTATAACAAATGTACCACTCTGATATAGGATGTTGATAGTGGGGGAGGCTCTGTGTGTGTGTGGCTTCAGGAAGTATATGGGAACTCTCTGTTCTTTTCGCTCAATTTTGTTGTCAATCTAAAACTACTGTAAAAACATTTTATTTAAAAGGAAGAAAATGAATATTAAGAGCTAATACTAGAAATCCCCAAATAATCCTCAACAGCCTTCACCAAACTAGGCTGGTACTAAAACCAAAGCAGCCATGTTCAAAGGGTCTTTGAACTTCTCAGCCCTAGGGTAACCAGAGGTGATCAAATGCACTGACCGTCTATAGTAATTTACTTCATAATTAACAAGCCATTATTATGTCTACCTGATAGTCCTTATGTCAATATCAGTTCTAGAAATGTTAGACATATGCTGTCTATTCCCTTTGTACTGGCTAGCTCCCTTCATTAAAAGGAAATTCATAATAATAATAATAATAATAATAATAATAATAATAATAAAAAGACCTGAAGACCTGAACAACTAAAAAAATTAAAATTAAAACTATGAAGGAGAGGGAATTAGGACTGAGTTCTTTCCAGCGCAGGGTTCTTTCAGGGTTCCTGCCTAAGGACCTGGCTACTATACGTAATGAGGCAAATCACTGACTGCGTGAAGCAGCGGACAGTGGGCAAATTGAGACTGAAGTGCAGACCGAGCAGTGGTCAAACTTAGTGCCTGGTGGAAAGCTCTGTCTGCCCAGGGAAAGGTTATTTTTTAAAAAATGTTAAAAGAAACTACATGCTAGCCAAGCTGTGGGCTTGTGTAGCTGCTGAATTTTGCAGAGAAGGTAGCTTTCTCCTAGGTTATACAAACTCATCTGATGAGTAAGTCACAGCTCAGGCGTGAAAATGCTGATTTGCAGCAAGGATTAAACGGGCTCTTCCAACATCTACACCACGGCTGGAGGAATTCTTGAACTTTAGAGCAAGAAAACACTTAATATCTTCTAAAATCTAGGTGATCATATTCAAACTGTTGTAGGATGTTTACCCAGTTGTTATAAAATGTAAAAATCACTCCATTTACCACATAACATTGGCAACAAATATCCCTGATCCTCACCTTGTCCCTGCCCCGACTTCATCATTGATGTCCTGATCCACACCAAGCTCAAAGCTGCCTTGTCGAAGCGTGAAAGAACTCATTTGTACTCAGAAATAACATATACAATAAAAAGTTCTTGATAATTCTCCCCCACTTTATCACCGATCTCTTCCTAAAAGATAGATTGCTGACAATGGGGTAAGGCTCAGGGAGTGTGAAGAAGTTTTCACATGATACTTTATCAATAATAAAAATTTTCAAGATAAAATTTTAACTTAAAGCCATGTAAAAATGTTCCCATAAGAGGGTGCCTGGGTGGCTCAGCTGGTTAAGTGTCCAACTCTTGATCTGGGCTCAGGTTGTGATCTCACGGTTTGTGGGATTATGCCCCACGTTGGGCTCTGTGCCGACAGTGCCTGCTTGGGATTCTCTCTCTCTCTCTCTCTCTCTTTCTCTCTCTCTCTCTCTCTCTCTGCCTCTCTCCTGCTTGTGTGCACTCTCTCTCTCTCTCTCTCTCAAAATAAATAAATAAACTTAGAAAATATGCCTATATCACAATTTTCATGCCAAGAAGCCTGGTGCTCTAATCAGACCTAGAATTCGTTACTTCTACCGTCTTAGTTTATTCTCCATTTGTCCCATGGATAACATTTTGAGCTATTAAAAAGAAAAGAGTAAGGGATATTTCTGTTGTACATTTTATTACACATACAACATTGATTTTCTCTGTGAACTGAAAGCTACAATTCAATAGCACTCAGTGAGACAATCAGACACAACATTCATATTCTTTTCTAATGGACCTCTGCCAGAGAAATTCCCTTACCTTTGGGTTCTTGTGATTCATCATCGCTATCCGAGCTGTCATTACTCACAATATGCTCTGCTGTAATATTTTCTGTGGAAAGAAAACAAAACAGTTGGACTATCTCAGGTGTCAAGGCTCACAATTAAATTTATCATAAGGAAGTAATCTGAGGAAAACCACCAAGTGAGATCTACTAGGTTTATTAGTGGAAATTTAGATCAATTTAGTACCTAATTCAATAGTTTCAAATTTCCTACTGGAAAACAAATTTCCTGGGACAGGAAAAATTAGTCTAAAACTACTCCTTCATGATTTAAAGGAAAGGATCTTTATTTCTCTTAGTTCTGACAGAAAGAATAACTTGGTCATAGGAGGCTCCTGTTATACCAAAACGATATAATTTTCTTTAATTAAATATGTTTAAGGCTGTTTCTGAGGGAAAATTCAGGGCAAAGCCAAAATCTATAGGAAGACTACAGAACAGTTCCTTCAAAATGAATGAAAGCTACTAATATAAGGTATCTTTTGATTTTCAATAATACAGAAAATTGTTTATTGAAATGTGCCTTTTGGTGTCAAAAAATTTGTGCTTTCTCAGAACATATTAAGAGGGCGGTTATGAAAATTAAAACTTAGAAACCATATACCCTTAACACAAAGACAGGAGTAAAATCTGGCATAATAACTAGTCATTGTTTTTTTAGAACACACAGACCATCCTTATTATCATTTGTAGAAGAATCAAACTTTCTTTGGACACTTACATGAAACCACTTTCTATATAACAGTGACTTTTTTTTTTTCCTTCTATGAGTCAATAGACTTTTTTTTATTTAGAAAAAACCCTGACTCTAAATTTTTAATTTTCCGTTCTAGAATCATTTAGGGGCTTTAAACTTGGAGAAATATAGGTATAACATATAGTTTCCCCATATTACTCTGTGTATGTTTATTATATCTGCATAAATGTCACATACCTGAATGAGAGTATATAATGGAAGGGTTTTAAATGCTTGAGGTAGTAGGTTAACTTTTTAGATTTATTTAATTTTACTGGTATGATTGCACATATGAAATTCAATAAAAGACAGTGTTCACAGACTAATATTATTCATTTAATTTCATGAGTATTACAGAAAGTAGTTTTGTTGTACAGAAGAGGGTGAGGTGTTAGCAAATGACCCACTGTGGGTGTCATATAAATTAGGTATGTTTTTGGTCCTATACATATTTTGGCAGAACAAAATTTTCTTTCTTTTTTTTTTTAAGCATTTTTTTTTCGGTCAACTTGATACTCTCCTTTAAGAAAATGGTTCACCAAAATATCATTCAATTTTACAAAGATATTTTCAAGAGATGAACAGCTTAATATTTGAATGTATCTATTTTCCATCACTATGGTATGATATGTAGCTCCATCTGTTCAAAAGCATAGATGGCTCACATTCAAAATTCCTTGAGAAAATGTGAAGAATTTCATTTCGAGTTATCGGATTATAGTCCAATTTTCCGTAATGTCTTTCTTCAGAGGGGAAAAAGCAAAAACAGAAACAACCTCTGAACACCCCTTTAAGAGGTAAACTTTAATCAGCCAGTGGATGAAAAGAATCAGCAGGAGTCTTCAGATTCCCCTCAGTCACCTCTCTGGTCTCATTTCTGGAAAGCCTTACCTAATCTGAGGTAACACGCATCCTGGATCACAAGCACATAATACCCCTCACAGTCTGACACAGAGGACAAGTAAGTAGGCCGCCAAACCACTGGCCTCAAAGGAAACATCCAACAGCAAAGAATATTCTGAAGACTGTTTAATATAAACATTCTCCTTTTCCTTGGCCTTCAGCCATTGTCCCACCCACCTTCGGATCTGTTATTTCAGTCCTATTCTCTTCCTGCCATCGGAGGAAAAAATAACAAGCTCTGGAGGTATCTGGATCTTTCAACAGAGAAGGAGCTCAGAGAAGCAAGCATTATTATAACATGGGCTCCTTCTGTTTCTTTCCTCTTTTATTCTGAAATCTTCACATAATTTTGAGAAGAGTTAGTGACTTCTGCAAAATTAGGTGGCTATTTATCCATCTGCGCTGTGATGTTCATTTCAAAAAGTCAAGTCAGACATTTCAGCATGATACACTCGGCTTTATAGTTACTCTTAAGAGAACGTGGCTCTGTAAGTTAAGGTCGGAGCAGGCTCAAAACTTCCACCAACCCTGACTGCTTGTTAAGTGAGTGCTGCTCAGAGGACAGAAGGCAAAGTGCTTTCTTTATTGTTTTTATTTTTATTTTAAAATCTTTCATTCTAGTGCAATCATTAAGATCACTTCTCCATTACTTATCAACAGCTACTCAAAAATACAAATGATACTATTTAATAAAAAAATTAAGGACCACGGAGAACTGCTGTGAACATAATACACATATCAAATAGCTAAACTCAATTTTGCAGGATGAATAACACTACTTATAAGCCAATTTGTAGTGCATTAATTAATGCTACAATTGTGTTCTTTTTTCTTTTTTGCATATAAAACTTAATTGAATCAACTGTCACTGCCTGGAAAAGCTAAGGGCAGCTGGTCAAAAAAAATCCTACATTAAGCTTTTTACATCCAAGTATTCTTCAAATGATTGTTGAAAAAGTCATTTATGCTATTCTGTTAACTCTATCCTTACATAGATTGTGATATTTCATGGGCAGAGAAGAGACAGTAGGTAGTTAGTGTGCAGATAATCTACAGGACCCTCTTCCCCAGTCCCTGATGGGCTGACTCCCAATTCAGATTTAGCATTCACTGTTCCTTCCCACAGCCAATCAAAGTAGCCATAAGGAAACAGGGTCGGCACTTGGGAGACACTGAAGGTATGTTTCATTTTGTTTGCTTTGAGTCAAATTTACTCATCAAACAAAACATAAAAGTTCCTGTCGTTCATCTTATAACGAATGAAAACCACTGGTCCTCAAATGAGTTGGTCTACTTTTTCAAGTTTTGTAAATATTATATTTTAACTTATTATGGGACAGGAAGTTAGATTTAAAGAAAACCATTAGTGTTCATTTACTAGATGTGATTTGAAATAATTTTTTCCTCCTTCTTGATGTGACTCAGCTATAGGAAGCTAACAGAATTCTAGTGGGTTAGTATTTTAGAGTTAAGTAAACCCGCAAGTGTGAATTTAGGTGTCATATTGTGTTTAACTGCTGATGAGTCTAATGTTGTAAAAACTAACTGTATTTGATAAAAGGAAACAAATAGTATGTTTAGATATTTAATGACTAAGAAGAATAGAGATGCCTAGTTGAAAATTATTCTTAGGAATTGATAGTTTTTATGAAATTCACAACCTCAGTGTCAGGATAATATTTAGGAAGTAATATACATATGATTTCCAGGAAATATTTAGGTTGATTTAACCAAGCTATTGGTAACTTCAGAATAACTACAGTCTTTATGATGATTTAATTGTCTATACATGCATGTTAAAATTTGCCAGTTTAGCATAATATGGTCAACAGAAACATGTTTTTACAATACCTAGTTCTTCCTCCATTGTGGAACCTTTATTTTGTGAGCCAGAAACTCCCAAGACTCTGTTGAACAATATAGAAAACGCACTGCCCCAGACACCTAAAATAAAGCAAAAATGAAGAATAACTTAGAATTCACCAAGATATAAAACAGTCAGGCAGACAAAGAGGAGATTTTGATCACTTACCCATTAAGAAATGCAAGGGGTTTTCTTCATATTTCTTCACAACTGTTCCCATAAAAAATTTGCTTCCAAATAAGTCAGGAGCCATAAAAGTACCATATTTAGCCATGCCAATCTCATATGGACTAAATTCAACCCAATCTGAAAGCATTTTTAAAAGGCACAATCCATTAGTAGGAAAATACTACAGAAATGAACACTGTTAAAGATCACTTCCAACAATGCCCTGATTATTTTCATTTATTTAAAATATTTTTTAAAACTTAACCAAATGCCTTTATGTATATGCCATTGTAGAGAAGTCAGTGGAAAAAACTTACTGAAATGAGAACAAAAAAAAAAATCCCTTCAAATTTGTACAAGCTGAATATCTTTTGCATTAAAAGCTCAGACATCTTTAGGGGCGCCTGGGTGGCGCAGTCGGTTAAGCGTCCGACTTCAGCCAGGTCACGATCTCGTGGTCCGTGAGTTCGAGCCCCGCGTCGGGCTCTGGGCTGATGGCTCAGAGCCTGGAGCCTGTTTCCAATTCTGTGTCTCCCTCTCTCTCTGCCCCTCCCCCGTTCATGCTCTGTCTCTCTCTGTCCCAAAAATAAATAAACGTTGGAAAAAAAAAAAAAAAAAAAAAAAAAAGCTCAGACATCTTTAATAAAATCCATCTTAATTCTAAAGAATGGAAAACAGAAAACTGCTAACTCAGATGTAAAATCCATGAAGGTGATAGAAGAAATTAAACTCTGATAACGCAAGTAGACTATGAAAGTAGAAGAAATTGTTTTCTAATATTTTCCTTTTCTTTATCTTTCCTTAATTTTGCCTATTAACCATTGTTCTAACTCACAAGATTATAACACAAAGTTTTTATGCTGAGTGTCTTAAGAAATACATGGTAATAGGGTCAATAAAGTATAATTTCTAGGAGTAGAGGCTATGGAGCCAGAGTCCCAGGTTCAAATCCCATTTTTCTTCTTACTAACTGTGCAACCTTGGGTAGATTACTTGTGTTCTTGGTGTCTTACTTCCCTAATCTATAGGATGTGAATAAAATCAGGAGACCGTAGAATTGTGAAAATCTAATGAGTTAAGAAACGTAGGGGCGCCTGGGTGGCTCAGTCTGTTAAGCATCCGACTTCGGCTCTGGTCATGATCTCATGGTTCGTGAGTTCGAGCCCCACATCAAGCTCAGTGCAGACAGCTCAGAGCCGGGAGCCTGCTTCGGATTCTGTGTCTCCCTCTGTCTCTGTCCTCCCCCGCTCACACTCCTTCTCTCTCTCAAAAATAAATAAACATTAAAAAAATGTTTTAAAAATGTAGAGAACTCAGAAGAAGGAATAGCACATCTTAATCACTCCATAAATGGTAGCCACTACTACATTTCATGTATTTCCATGGCTATCACTATGTTTAATTATGCATCCAAAAAGAATTACCATTTCTGACACCCATTTCCTACACTTGCTTCTCTCTCAGTCTTCCTTTTCTTGGTAAATGGCACTACTTTTCATATATTTGTACCACTATATATACTTTATCCTTGACAGTTCTTTCCCCTTTATATCTTACATACAAAAACTCAAGTTCTGTAGACTCTCTTATCAGATAAGGTTAAAAACTGACTGCTTATCCATTTGTCTGCCATGGATCACCATCCATTTGTACCCCACTGGTACAAGCTGTCATACCCTCCTCCCTGGATCTCCCCAGTAGTCTTCTAAAACATCCCTTCTCTGTTCCCCTGCTATCTTTTTGATACCTGTTGCCAGAACAAAATTTTAAAAATAGAAATCACAGCACACTAATGCCAGCTGAAAGCTTTCCAATGGCTTTCCATTACACTGAACACAAAAATGCGGTCAACAAGGCTTCTTAATGGTCTGGCTAGTGCCTCTTGACCTCATGTCCTAACCAATCTCCCATTATGTTGGTCTTGCTCTTTCCACTTGAGCCACACAAATCTTCTTAATGTTCCTCAAAGAGAAAGCTCACTGACACCGCAGTGCCTTAATGCTTGCTATTACCTTATGCAATTCCAAGGCTAGTTCCTTCTTATCCCTTAGTTCAAGGTCAATTTTCATTGGCCATCCTCTATGAAGTTCCACCATTATCCACCCTTGCCTAACCCATAACCCTCTGCCCTCCTTTATCCACTCCCCTTTCTGAAACTATTAAATATCTATTCAAACAAACCAAAATCCAGATAACTTAAAACTCCACAAAGTTTTTTGCTATTCATTTGTTGGTAAAATCTGACCTGAATTCATTCAGCAGAAAAAAAAAAACAGTCCTGAATGATGTATGGCTTATTTTTTTTTTTTTTTGTCTCACTAAATATGCATATTGACACATTCTATTACAGAAATCACTCTATTTGATTATAAGATCCCCGGGGGTTATTATGTACCATACACGGCAAGTTTTTTTTTTTTTTTTTTAACTTTAAAATCTAAAATGTTCTGAATTCCATGACATCTATCTCTAGTTTTAGAAAAGGGATTGCGGGTGTATATTTATTGTTTACTCAGTGGTAGATCACAACATTCTACTTCTGTGAAGTAAGTTATGAAATCACAGTTGTGATGAGAACACATAATTCATTTCAAATCAAAGCCAAGTGGCACATATACCTTTCTTCATAAAGTGATGTGCTTTATAATGATTTACATGGAGTTAGTGAGATATGACTAGCAATGAATCAGAGGCTGCTAGGAAAATTTCTGTATCACTAAAAGTAATTACCTATCTCTGAATCTCATCCCCTTATCTTGGGTACTGAAACACAATAACTTCTCCAGTAATCTCATCTTTATTAATGCTGTGGTTTGTGTACACGTAATTATAGCATTCTCAAGGCTCTTTATTCCTTAGTCAAGAACTCACCATGGTAGTGCGTGACTATTATTCTTTTGCTGTTAACTCGTATGTTTCAAACTTGAACTTCTCTCCCACACCTCCATCTACTCCTTTCCAACTTCCTGTTGTGGATTTACACTTACATACACTGTCGTCGCATCCCACTATGCTTTCCTGGAAAGGAATTAATCACCTTTCTTCCCAGTCTAGCTTACCTCTTGGTAAACAACACTATTACAGCCCTCAAAAAGAAATTTTTCAAAAATTGAAACCACTCTTTTCCTCACTCACATCAAACCAATCCATTACCACCTTTCACTGATGACCTCTGGGCTTTTCACCTCCGTCTTCTGCTCTTCTTATCAGTATCTCCCTAGTTCCAGGACTTTATTACAAACGCGCAGTGATCGCACTGCTTCTGGTTTCTTTCCCTGTTAATCTACCCATATGAATCAACAAAATACTTTTTTCAAAAACACTAAATAATTTCATTGTCCTACCCCTAAACACCAAATGTTTCCCACTATCTTCATAACTGAAGAAAAATATTTCTGTCTGGAATTCAAATCTTTCTGTAACTTGGCACTAATAATTTTCCCAAATGTACCACCCTTCACCGGCTCGTACTAAGTCTGGTTTCTTTTTACTGCTCTTGAAAACATATTTTTGACCCTCTTTCTGAGCATTTTCTCATCCTGTTTCACACAAAGAGGACTATTCACCTCCACTTGATAGATCTTTCCATGTTCAAATGGAATCGGAGCTCCATCACCTCATGAAGCTGTCCGTATGACTGTAATAAATCTGTGTGATATCTTACACTTAGATCAGTTCTACACACTTTGATAGACCATAATATTCGTGCTCACTTCAGCAGCACATATACTAAAAAAACAGATCGTAATATTCCATGTGTACGGCTCTTTCATTTTTCATGTTTTGTTTTTGTCTTGTTAATGGGATTGTAACCTTCTTGAGGAAAAATGCCATATTTTTACTCTGACGGTATCTCAAAGAATTTAACATGATGTTGGTAAGTTGTACTCAATAAATGCAATTTACTGACCAATGGAAATGAAAACGAAAGCAGTGTAGTTAAGTGAAGGAGTCAAAAATATTTAACAGTTTAAACAATGAATGTTTGTTTAAAATCTTCAAAAGAGGAAAATGTTTAAAACTATTCTAAAGGGAAGAAAAACATTCTCTAATATTGTTGAAATAAAGGCGATCAAACTTCTGTAAGCTAAGATAATTTGGCTCCTTGGCTTTTAAAAATATTATTCAGATAATATTTCAACTTTTTCCCTTGAATATTCACTTTTAATCTAAGCAAACTTTAAAAGAATAAAGTATAGACATGTCTCCTTTTTTTCCGTCAATAACCCAAGCTACTTGAACCTTCATAACATACACTTTTGAATGTCTTATCGGGTATAAGATCCACATAACTAATGCTTGATGGCTTTGTCCAACTCTGTTAGAAGAAACAGCTTTGAATCTCCTTATCATAGAAGCTTAACAATGAAGGTTAATGGTGTATCTCTCATCCTGGTACCAGTATCACAGTTAGGCAGATGGCCCAAATAAGACACATCCAGGTCAAAAGATGACCAACTGAACATAAAACGGCCTTTCCCAATTCTAAATGAAGCCAAAATATTCACTTGCTGAAATATTACTTCTTCTTTAATTATCTCGATCAGATTTTCTACTGAGAATTGCTACTGCTTCAAAGTTAAGAATGAAAAAAGGTAACTGTCAAAATATCATCACAATTTTAACAATAGTAATAACACTATTATATTTTAGGTCTCTTTTACGATATTCTGTCTTCTGCCTGTCTCATGTGATTGTCTTAACAGCTCTGTAATATAAACCTGATATTTATTAATATCATTTTTTTAATAACGAGGAAAATAAGAATCAGATTAAATGACCCACCTGATGTATTTCAGCTCAGAAATAAGACAAGGCTTCCAAATTAGTCTAATGCTTATTTGACCATAGCATAATGCTGTGGGGTAAAATGGCTTATTTGGCTATGCACAGATTTGACTAGCTTACTAGGAGGATTTATCAACCTATCTCCAAATATTCCAGGACCTCAAAAAAACAACAGCTCTAGGAAAGCAAAAACAAAACACAACCAATTTCATCACGGCACTTACTTTTCTTACGTGAATAAATTTCACCTCTCCCTCTGAGCTACATTACATTCAAGATCTTGCTCCCAATTGCTGCTGACATGCCATGGTTATCCCAGACTCCTACTGCGTGCCTTACCTCCCATTTGAAAATTAAATTTGCCTCTCATATACAAATCCTATTTATCATTAAGATCCAAGAGCTCTGATTTCTCATACAGCTTTCACAGAGCACTACATTTTTAAGATTTACTTAAACTTAATTTGGGCCTGCCACTGCTTTTATGTACTTTGCATACTTTATATCATTTATTTAGTGAAAACACTATGAGAGTCTCATCGTCATTTAACAGATGTGGAAACTGAGACTAAAAAAGGCATGTAACTTGGTCAAGGGAACAATGCACAGTAACTTCTTTCTTGTATCTTAACTTGTTTAATAATGATTGCAGATTTCCCAAACAGATTATAAGGTCTTATAGAACAGGGGCAACATACTGTGGGGGCGGGGGAGGGGAGTTCATGCTTAGCACCTGTCATACCACGTCTACACAGTCAGTAACCAGAGAAGCCATTATTTTAATAAAAAGAACAAGGGCTTTTTGCGAACAAACCTCAGCTCTGCTGCTTAGTTTCTACACGGCAATGTGCAAAACATTGAATTTTTCTGAGGTTTTGTTTTTGCTTCTAAGAAGCAGAGCTAAAAATACCTCACTTCCCGAGTTATAGTAAAAATTGAATAAGATAATAAATACAGTAAGTGATTTCTGAATCACAAGCATGACGAATGTTTTAGTCAATTAACTGATAAAGATTAGAATGAGTGAATTCCAGGTGCACTGCTTTTTATAAACAATTCAAAATTCTTGCCTGGGAATAGTCAGTTGAAAAGAGTGAGACCTTTTAAAATTTGGAAAAGGATTTCTGGCTACAAATCTGTTAATTACCTTCCATTCACAATGACTTTTTTAAGCTCATGGAGTGACTGATTTCACTGAGGTACTTTTCCTAAAATTACAATGAACCCTACCATCTACAGTCAGAAATGCTACCACATTGCAGATTAGGACGAGCAAAGGCCCCCGCCAAGTATGATGTCACATACTTTTAGAGCACCCAACAAGAAGCAAGGCCACAGAGAAAACAAATATTTACATGTGAGGTTTAACAATATGAGGTATTTTGTTCGCCAGCTGCCAGAAGCATAAACTAGTACTTTTTGAATGCTGAATTATAAAGACGAAAATGGTGCTTTGAATGATAAGCATACATCATGTTACCCAATTTAAGGAAAACATAAGCAGTAAGCAAGAGCATATGCATTGCCTAAAAGCATGCTATTTTGTTAAAAGTCCTTGAGGAATGAGTAACTAAAATCGAGGTGATTATATTCATGACTTTTTAATAATTTCTTTTTTATTTTACTAATTTAAATGAAGGTATATTAGTAACTGGAATGTATATTAGTGTCATGGAATAGTCTGTCCAACCAGAAAATCATCTAGCTTAGCATTTTCTTGTACCTTCCAATGTTTTTACGTTACCAAAAATACATTAAAACAGACAACTAAAATTGCTTAGGATCTTCCTCTAATGAAAATCATTAGAAACCGCAGTTCAAAGGTTCCTGGAAATGCTTTGAAAGGGGAAATCACATACCTGCAAACATCAGCTCCGAAACATCAGGTTTGACATGGAGACAGGTGAAAAGGGGTAAAGGGCATTGTGCAGAATTGACTTTTTCCTTCAAACTACTCAAGGTAGTGTTCATTCTCTGTCCACAGAAGAAATAAAGAAATGGTTTTCAATATAGAAACATATACAGAGAGAAAACTATTTAAAATAGTACTTCCAATCAAGACACTTAAAACTTCTCTAATAAAAATCAGTCTTCCTTCTTCTAGAAATCTCTGGGTCCTAATAAACGACAACAAGTAAGCTCTATGGAGGTAATTATTATCTTCATTCTAAGAACAACAGTAACTCTTTTAAAGATTATGGCTACATTTGAACTGAAGAAGAACTTGGCAGCTACGAAGCCCAGAAAGCAGTTGGACCCCAGATTCCCTGGCACAGACTCTGTCTCCCACACTTTATCTTCAGATGAAATGTCACACTGTAGTCATGTGTCAAATAGGCTTGCTCCATGTGACTTATTCCCTTTTCTGGCTTTCTTTAGGGAACCTCGTTTTTCCTCTACCACTAAAATACTACTTGTATTCATCCCTTTATTTAAAAAGACTGCCATTGGGGTGTGCAGGAGTGGACAGTAAGAGGTCAAAATGTGTATTGAAGAATACAAAAGTACTTCTCTATACATCAAAACTGATACACAGAAAGAATTAGTAAGCACTAGTTGGAAATGTAGAAGTGTTATGTCTGGCAGGACAATGCGTACTCAGGACACATTGTTGATAGAATCAGTTGAGTCAAGTGACTTTTATAAAATGTTATATGGAAATGATGAATCACTGGGTTCTACTCCTGAAACCAGTACTACACTGTATGTTAACTAACTTGAATTTAAATAAATTAAAAGAAAAACCAAATGCATCATTTTGTTTTATTAAAACATTATGACATACACGGCCGATTTGTATTAAAAGGATTGCAGTTTGAGCCATAGCTTACATTGTGAATTAGTGTTTCTCCAATTAACATCCCAAAGATGTCAGTAAAGGTGACAGGTTGCCCAGAGCTTTTCTTCTTCCATAGAGACTCAATGTATCTCTTAACTTTCTGTGGTGTGAGAAGTAAAAGGGGGTTGTGGCTAACATTTTTCATTAGCTCTTCATTAATCTCCTCTGGCCCTTTCTCTGGAAAATCGGGGTGAGAATATAAGGTTGACATGTACCTGTAAAGAAGACAAAAGATGATTAGTAACAAGAAAGGACGTCACATAGTAGTCTCCAAAGAAGGCAGGTGCTCTCTGTCATAAGAAAAATAAAGAATGTTAGAAATGGTTGGTTAACTTAATTATCTGATTAAAGATATTAATCCATTTAAGGAAAGAATGTATCAATCAGAAAGGAGCTGGTCCACAACAAAGGCCAAGTAAAAGAGAGGTCTCAAAGGAAATAGTGGACTTCCCAAGCCCAGTCCAGAGGAGAGGATGCCCTAGTGGGCTTACTGGCTGTCCACCGTCTAGCCTCTGGGAATGGGTAATTCCTATTAGATTATCAGAGACTGATGAACACAACACATTTAAGTCATGTAAATAAACTTACTTGTCTGGATATAATACCAGTCAAGTAATCTGATAATTTGACTTTCCATAATGATTAACTATAGGTGGGAAATGTGCTGTCTAAACTATTGTGAATGCCTAATTCTCCTAACAAATGTATTTTTGTTTTTATTTTGCCCATTGCCAACTGGGTAGAATCCCGAGTCTTGCCAATTGTAGGTCTCAGAATTTCTGGGCATCCAAATCTGATTGTGAAATCCTGGAGAGAAAGAAGTCTTCAAGGTAAATGCTTTCTTATGGACATTCTTGGCCACCAGCCATTTGGCCACTTCTAGTAATACTGGAAATCAGTAGATACTACCTTGGTATTTGATATTTAGACAATAAACATTCAGCTACCACCCTCCTTCCTGTGCACCAATATCTCTAGTATTGTAGCTCTCCGTACTGAACATTAAGTATGACTTTACTTATCTGTCTCCCTTAGTCTTGTGATCTCTTGCTGGGAAAACTTTGTTTATTCATCTTCTCCAGCCTCAATGACTAGCAAATGCCAAGCACATGGAAAGCACAGTTTTTGAACTACTGAACTGAGAAAACAAAATAATGAAAGAAATATATACTCCACCCCTTCATCCAACCAAAGAGAAAACAGGGCATAGTTTAATCTCCTGTTTCCTTGACATTCAAATAGAAATGCCTACTACAATGGTTTATCTTTCCTTCAGGGAGGGGAGAAACCTGACCTTTACTGGGTCCCTGCCCTTCCTGAAGCCTGGGCTGGTTAACTGTACATAAGCTATTGCCTTGAAGACCTGAAATGCTTTCAATTCTTCTATTTTAAAGATGAGGAAAGAGAGGATTGATGAATTTAAATACATGTTCACAGTTCCCCAATTAATAACAGAATGAGAATTTAAAATGTGTCTTCTCCCCTGATAGGCTTATTAAATCTCTTAAATAAGATTTCAGTTCTTAGAGACCAAACTACTTCCATTTCACATGAAATTAGAATTTCTTATTGGATTCAGAGTTCTTTGGAGACAAGTTGAGAATAATTATAAGTTAACAAATGGAGAGTGATGAGAGACCTTTTAACGTTTATTCATTTTTTGAGAGACAGAGACAGAGCGTGAGTCGGGGAGGGGCGGAGAGAGAGGGAGACACAGAATCCGAAGCAGGCTCCAGGCTCTGAACCGACAGCACAGAGCCCGATGCGGGGTTCCAACTCACAGACTGGGAGATCATGACCTGAGCCGAAGTCGGACGTTTAATCGACTGAGCCACCCAGGCGCTCCTCCCACAAAAAAATTTTTTTAAATAAAAATCCCTGGGGCGCCTGGGTGGCTCAGTTGGTTAAGTGTCCAACTCTTAACTTCAGCTCAGGTCATGATCTCACAGTTTATGGGATCAAGCCCCGTGTCAGGCTCTGCGCTGACAGGACAGAGCCTACTTGGGATTCTCTCTCTCCCTCTGCCTCTCCTGTGTGCACATGTGTACTTTCTCTCTCTCTCAAAATAACATAAACTTAACAATAAATAGATAAAAACAAATAAGAATTCTTAAAAGATCTTTATTACATAAATTGGATTCCTAAAATTCCCCCCAAACATGTGATAAAGATAAATAAAAAAGACTTACTCCAGACTCAAGCCTGGGATAATTACCAAATATCTATAAAAAATACAGCTTAGAGTACTTGAGAGATACTAGGGTCTATCTACTCCTGTAGTTATTCTAAGGTCTATCACATGACTCATCAAAATCAATAAACACCTGGTTTTCTGGACCTCATCCTACTTTTCAATAATTGCATGCATTGATGGAATGCATTGGTTTGTATTTAAGAACATAATAAAAATAGGAAAATAAAACATCTTTTGGTGCCTTTAACTGGTTGACTCTGGAACTATCCAGGATATGCTTCATTCTTTATGGGAACACTAAGAACTTCTTTACTGGTTTTATTAACAAGAATAATTTCTACCTCCAGGGACAATTGGTTTGCCCTTAGCTTTTTAAAAATTATATTATGTAATTGGATTTTACATAGTTCGATTTTGCCTTGGACTTTAGAAAGCTTAAACTCAAGCCTGTGTTTCATGGTTTTCAGAGCTATAGGTTATAGAATGAATTTTTAATTGAATTTCTAGTTATATATTTACTTACCTTTTTTCACTTCTATCCTTATTGTATGCAACCCAGTTTTACTTTATAAGATACATTAAATCCTTTCCTTAATGAAGCAGGGTAAAAATAAAGAAAAGGACCAAACACTTAATGTCAGTAGAGAACAATTTAGCCTCAGAATAATCTTTTCAAAAGACAGATAAAAAGGAAATAATATGATCATTCTGCTGTTGGAAGTTGTCATTTCCAACTATTCAGCAGAAAGATGTAATCACTCAAATCTGAAATAACATTATTTAAGACTTCCCTTCTCCATCTCTACTTAGCTGGTCTTTAAATGAATCAACTTATGATTCTAGTAAGTACCTTTGCCCCATGAATTGTCCCCAGCAAGATCTGAAGGCCCTGCCCTGCCCTGCCCTGCCCTTCCCTTCCCTTCCCTTCCCTTCTCCTCAATGTTAGCCATTGGCTCTAGATCAAGAAAGTCCTTCCTCTGGGGTTTGAGGATTGCTCAGAAGCTAGGACTTGTGCCACAGTTTCAGAGGTAGGTTTTTTTAAATGGCCAAAAAGTATACAGATGTCAGCCCAATTCTCTCTGTTCCACGTAGGAAGGTTGTAGTCCATTTCTTTTCTCTAAATGCTGAAGTAAACTCATTCACTTGAGGGAATTTTTCTCTCCCCCTTTCCCTCTCTGATTCTTTCCCTACTATGAAGCACTTGCTTTGAGGATACAAGCCCTAGCCAAAGACAAAAAGACCTAGATACCTCAGCCTTTGGCACTGGGTTAATGTTCTCTGCTGGTTCAGCATTTATTTTTTAGAATTCATGAGTGTGAATTGGACAGACTCTTCATGATGTCATCATGGTGACATGCAAGACCTGAGTTTTAGCTTTGGTGATGCTAAAGACGGAGGGGTAGGCAATGGCCAGTTTTCTTTAAATAGCTGTCTTTGTTTCCTTGGTTGCACCAAGGCAGGATTCACTGTTACTAGTTTCTGTGGACATGCTACCATCGAAAGCACACAAACATCACCCCAATTTGCAACTCTATAGTTAAGTCTTAATTTTCACCTCTTTACTAATACGTGATTCCCAATTATACCAATCAAATTTCTGAAACCAAGTGACTTAGACATAGCAGGGCCTCTACAAATAGTTAATTAATGAATGGAAGGATCCTCAACTTATTTCTCTATAAATCTGAAGATACTGGCCTCTAATTTTTCAACATATTTATATGATGGAACACATCATTCTCTCCATATGAATGCATTTTAGGCTAAGTGTGAAATTCTAAGACCTAAATCATGTCAAAACTGCACAAGGAATTCTCAGTGCAGTTTCTTCCTCCAGATCGCCTGGCCAATGTTTTAAAATATCAGTGCCTGGCCTCCAAGGACTTGCCAAATCAGAATCCTTAGGGGTAAACATATAGAATTTCTATGCTTAAAAAAGTGTCAAAAGCAAGTCTCAAAAGCACTAAAATTCGGAATGGCTTGAGAAGACCCTTGACATTTGTGAAGCAAATAGCCTGAAACCCTAAAGAAATCTCTAGATTAATTTTCCCCTCAAGAGGCAGTTACTTATGCAAATCTTCATTTAGTCATTCAGTGTGTGATAAACTGGAGAGATTCTTTAAGCGAACAAGCCAAGCACAGTCACCACCCCAAACAACATATTTTTCTCTAACTTACACCTTGATCTTTTAGACTATCACCTCTTATCTGGCAACATCCCCTAAAATTGTTTCATTGTTCAATGCTGCGGGAAGTCTTCAGACTCCTGAACTGAAAGTTCTCCTTGAATTCCGTTTGGGTCACATTAATGGACTGAGCCCCACTGCTATCATTGCAGAGCTACTCTGATTTGTCTTTAGATGGCAAGGTCATACAAGCGTGGCAGTCAAGAGCCCACAGCCCCTTATGATTCTGCAGATGAAGCTGTACTGGGGAAGAGAGTTGTGCCAACTGGTTGGCTAACATTTATATGTAATGAATAGCACAGTATCATCCCCAAATAATTTCAGAAATAATTACCATAAGGGTAGTAGCAATTATAAGGGAAGCCTTTGTCCTACATAAAATTCTCTTTTGTGATCACAGAAACCTTTTTGGGAGGTCCAGGGCTTCTCCAAATATTTCCGTATTACCTCATTTGTGCCAAGTAATGGTCATGTGTCAGCAGAATATAAAAACTTACACAACACAAGAGTGTAATTTGTTTATCCAAGTCTTTCCGAATTCCTTCCTTTGAACTTTTTACCTTCTTGCCTATACTGTTCAAGAGAAAATGAACATGCATCATCCTGACCACCTTTTCTTCTGTTCAGGAAGTATCTCTTCTCTCCACAATGAACAGCTTTCACTTGTCCTTCTTCTCTTGTCCCATCCTGTCTCTGTCTGAATCTTTTTCTATCCACAAACCACCTATTTCTTTACCTTCCATCTATCCTTTTACATTATTTCCTTTACTTCAGACTTCTACAAAAATATCCAAGTCCCTGAAATTCTGAAAATAAAACAAAACCAAAACCCTTCCCCGAGTTCCTATATTCCCCTTCTTGAAATACAGCACCTGAAAGGTTTACCTCCCCACCTTTCTTCATCTTCTATTCACTTCTTACTTGCAATTTCAAGATCAAGAGTTTTCTTTATTTCCTTTAGTGATTTTTGCTAAAACCACTAAAGATTTCCAAACCCAGTTCTAAGCTAAGCTTCTCACCCATGTTTCACTCTACTAAAAGACCCACTATTTCTTGAAGTACTCTCCACCCTTGACCTCTGGGTCATTTTTTACGTGATGCTCTTCTCTGACAGCTACTTTGCATTGTCCATTAGGGATTTCCTTCCCTTTTTGGTCCATTAGCTTTTGGGGTGTTCTAGAGTCCCATGAATTAAATTATTGGTAGTAATAGCTGAAGTGGTAGAAATTGGTGAAATTACCAAGGGGGTGGGGTGTAGATATAACAGAACAAAAAGGAGGTCTCCTCACATTAAGGAGAAAAGCAGTGAAAGTAGTAAAGACAGTATGGAGGGCAGAGTAATAAGAGAGGATGAAATAAAAACAAAAAGGCATAGTAGGAGGGATTTGTAAGAGGGACAGCTAATGTGTGAAATGTCCCAACTGCCAACCTCACCCTCCCTGGCTCCCCCAAAAAGTCAAGGAGAAAAAGAATTTCAAGACACCATTACATTTGAAAATTAGGTGCTTTCAGGTGAAAATCAATTGTAAGGATTTTAGGAGTGAGTGTCCTTTAAGGAAATAGAATAAATTAGTGAAGGCTAATCTTGAGGAATTTAGACAATTTTTTGTATATAGAAATTTTTGTATATAGAAACGCATGGTCTGTAAATGTTTAAATGATTGGCCTGTAACATTTAAAATTCTCTTAATTACATTTTGCAGGACTTGTTTTTCGAATCCCGACAGAATATAAGATGTCGCCCAAAGTTGCCCCAAATCCATAACCAACTCAATGACTGCAGCTCTAATTAAGCCTAAACATGCATTATTATACCCTCAAATCAGCACCCCAAATCACACCTGCTCTGTCTTTACTAGCTGAGTCTAAGAAAGTAAGCTTCCTGTAATGTATCAGTCAGGGATGGACCACAGGGATCTAACGAATATTGAATTCAGAGAAAGAAAGCCATTCAAAGAGTAATAACAAAATGCTTGAGTAGGCAAATTAATCTAAGGGTCCAAGTTTTTCCATCATATTACTCATTAAACAGGCAGGTGCCTGTTCTTTCCTTCAAGGGAAAGAATAATGATGGGCTACACCCTTTTTTCAAAAGAGATAAATCATTTTGAGGGTACATACAAAGAAGGTGGCAACCATAATTCTAAGTTTTTGTTTCTTAGCTAAAGAATCTGATTCAAAATATTTAAGAAACTGTAGACTCTTTATAGGTGAATCTCTATGTAGAATCTATACCTGTCCAATAGAAGGTTATGGTTTAATTCAAAGAATGCTAGAACAGAGGATCAAAAGCCTGACTTTACATGCTGGTTCAAATCACTTGGCTTCTGAGTCAAATTTTCTTTAGTTGAAAAATGAAAAAACTCAGATCCATCTCACAGGATGAGAAGGTACAGAAATTTTAGAGTGCTAGACATATTTAGTATAGTATTATAATAGATGAACTTTACTATGGCTGCATGATTAAAAAGCCTTGTAATTCAAAGTCAGACATTTTGTAATAAGGTGACACTCATAGTTGAGACATCTGGGGAAGAACTAATATTTGATTTTCAGTGTGCTTCTATGAGTTAGGCAAACCAAAAAGTACACAGTAGAGTCTTTGAACATGTTTTATACACGTTTGTGAAAAGTCAAATCTACAGTGCACAAATATTATACATGCAGATGTTTTATGTTTCTATCCAGATTTAGCTGCGCATAAATACATTTAAAGGATTAATTTCACAATTATATGCAAATCAGTGAAACTTATTGCATTTCTGCATTCAAAAGTTGTTTTTCTTCTTTTATATACTAAGGTATCTTGCATTTCATTCTATTTGCCCTAGAGAAGAAAATGAATACCCAGTGAATCATGGAGACTTAGACATGATTGCTGAAAGATTACAAATCAGAAAATTATAGGAAGATTAAATTAATTACGGGTGGAGTATGTTATTCCACCTCTGTGATATTTATATAGAATTTCAATTGATCTATTTTTAAGTTTTACATTTAACTGCATTTTAAGTTACAAACAGGCTTAAAGGGAGTAAATTTATGACAAGAGTCATCATTATGTATGAATTTGCCATAAAAAACGTTTTTAAGAAGCAAATTATTCAATGAAGCTGCAATACTTCAGTAACATGAAGTTAAGGTTAATTTTCGAAATCCTCTTTTCTTTTCTAAGGTTTGAGGTAGATAAATGCAAAACATTTAGCATGATATAACTAAGATTTAAAATGCATACTAACCATGTGGAGCCAGAAAGGCCAGCAACGTAAGTAGCACAGTCCAAAATTCCTGATTCATATAGTGCCTTCATCACACCGGAGAATCCGACCATGGCTCGGAACCCTCCACCTGAGCCCAGTATGGCCACCACAGGCACCTGGGATGATGAAACAAAGAGATCATTTGTGAAGCCATAAAATACATTTCTGTTTTGTTTCAACTTTTATGTTATATGTTCTACATTTGGTAATCAGGAACTAAAAATTCCATCATACCTTAATAATAACTAATTTTTAAAAAGGAAAATGTTTCATATAAGACAATCAAGAATTAATGTCTCTTAGAAGGCAGACATTGCTAAAACACCAACTAACTCTATTTAAAAATAACGACAACCACAACTCCCTATATTTACTTGACCCTTTGCAGTTTTTGGCTTGCTTTCGGGTGCATTTTTTTTATCCTCTCAAAAATCCTGTAAGGTGAACAAAAAAGTCTTTGCTTATTCTGCAGATGGAAGTTCTACAATGGTGATATTACTTGCATAAGGCCTATTAACTGGTAACTTCTAGTTAAGTAAGCACTGTGCCCTCTTGGCGCATAATTCTTACTACTCCTTTATGCTGACTCATTTCAAAATACATGCTATTATTCAAGCAATTAAAAAAGAATGTGACAAGACCTAAAAATTTTATTTACTCTTTAATCTATTAAATAAATCTCACTGAGCAGTCTCTATCTTTCAGTCATCACAGGTGGATCCGGGGAATATAGTTTATTTAAGTGAGGCAGAAACATAATAATAATTATGACAATAGTACGAATAGGGACAGATGACATCTGTTGAGCAATTACTATCTGATAGGAACTGTTCTAAGTATTTCATAGAAATTATCTCATTTGATTACCACAAAATCCACATGAAGATTTTACAGGTTTATAGGATTTTATGCTCTTTTATAGGTGAGCAACCAAGGTACTTAGAAGCAAGACCTCGAAAACTTGTTCTGGGTCATGCAACTAATAAATCGCAGTCAGGAGTCAAACCCCAGGTTCCTACATTGGGGTTCATGCTAACATGCCTTACTAAAATAAAGTGCTACAGGTTGGGAGTACGTGAGGTCCAGAAGGTGTGGTGAATTCCAATCAGAGAAACTGAAATGGTAGAGAGAGCTTCATAAATAAAAAAAGAAACCGGTTCTTAATTTTAAAGATGCACAGTTATTCAACAGGGAGGGACGAGGGCAGGGAAGGAGGCCGGTCTGGAAATGGAAGCAGCATGAGTCAACCAAGAGTTTTCCCAGTAGAGAAGCAAAGGCTGTCTGCAACATGACTAAAACACAAGTGTTTGTTTGGAGAGGGAGAGATTGTCATTTTCTTTGTGGTCCTCAACCATTATTGCTTAAGAGAGCTGGTGGTTTCTCTCTCTACTCTAGGGAACAGCTCTTAAAGTGTACACAGCTCTCAGGGTGTCCACAAGGTCAAAACTATTTTCATGATAGCAGTAAGAGGTCATTTGCCTTTTTTTGTTCTCATTACTTCACGAGTGTGTGATGGAGTTTTTCAAGAAATTACAGGATGTGTGATATAGCAACAGATTGGATTCAAAAGCAGATAAGAGAATCCAGCTGTTTTCTGTTAAGTCAAACAACAAAGATAATTGTAAAAATGGATCTCATTTTTTTTTTGGTTCTTGAAAATTTGATTATTGTCATAAAATGTTATTTATATTAATATGACATCAACGTATTTAAAATTTTTAAATGTTTTTATTTACTTTTGAGAGAGACAGAGACAGAATTTGAGTGGGTTAGGGGCAGAGAGAGAGGGAGACATGGAATCTGAAGCAGGCTCCAGGCTCTGAGCTGTCAGCACAAAGCCCGACGCGGTGCTCGAACTCACGAGCTGTGAGATCATGACCTGAGCTGAAGTCAGACGCTCAACCGACTGAGCCACCCAGGTGCCCCAACATCAATGTATTTAAAGTAAATACACATTTTAATAAGTTTTCTCAGTTTCGGTTTTTAATATGGTAAATATCCATAGAGATAGCCCACATAAATAAAAATAAAATCTTTTAGAAGTTTATGATATTATTTAAGAGTATAACGGATTTCTGAGACCAAAATGGTTAATAACAACTGCTTAAGACTATCAGGCACATGGTGAGTACAATCCAACCTCTTCCAGTAAAATTTAGAGTCTTTTGAGGACAAGACAGTGGAAAGAACAGACAAAGGCATAGGGAGTGGATGGAGGGAAATATTTACTGGACAGAGAATGATGTGGAGGCATTGTGAGATTGCCAGGGAGAAGAGGTGTCTTTTGTTTGACATTGTTTCTCAGTGATAACAATTATCAAAGAAGAAGTTAGAGACAGAAGACTGAGCAGTTCATGGAGCAAAGATATTAGATCATGGAGCAATTCAAGGCTTTAGAAGAAACAAAGTGAAGAAAGAAGCCCCCAAGTGTAGCAGAGCAGAACCTGAACTGTGTGGGGATGCTCTGACTGGAGTTAAATAAAAATTTCCTACTGTTACCAGGTTTTCCTTTCTACATATGTGACAAAGTCTCATTTGCAAAATCAATGTCCAAATCATGGAGCGCATGTGCAGAGATGAGCTCAAGTATTTTCGGCAATTCCATTTTATCTGTAATAGTCATGGTATCCTCTTCTTCTGAGGTGCGAATGGCAAACAGTTCCTCCTTTCTTCTACTCCCTAAAGCGAAGCTTGTGAGGAGAGAAACAGAATCAAGGTACATTTACAAGGAGAAGCTGGTGACTGATCTGACGTTAGGCACAAAAGAGGAAGGAGTGTGGTCAGACTGTTAGGGTTTCTAGCTTTGCTCCCAGCAGATGATGCGGCCATTGCCCAGGAGAAGAACCCCCGGGGCAGGGGGCCAGCTGCAGGGGAAATACTGCACTCAATCTCAGAAATGCAAAATACACGACACGGATGCATCGTGTTCCAATCACTTGGATTCTGATCCTTGGGTATTCATTGACCAATGTGAGATAGATAGATAGATAGATAGATAGATATAGATATAGATATAGATATAGATATAGATATAGATATAGATATAGATATAGATATCTATCTATATATATCTATATATCTATATAGATATATAGATATATATATATATGGAACTATATTCCATATATATTCCATATATATGGAACTA